TTGTTTTTTGAAGTAGCTTGAAAGAATCTCAGGGTCTCCTTTTCTTTTATATTTGAAGTAGTTTGAAAGAATCTCAGGGACCCGTTTTGTTTTATTTTTGAAGTAGCTTGAAAGAATCTCGAGAATCTCTTGTGCATGAAAATATATATATCTCCCACTTGCCGGGCGAGTGCCTTGACCACTAGGCCACAGGGCTGCTTATCTTTCTTCGCTTACCAACCCTACTACTGCTAGGACATAAAAACAGACAAAGTCCAGCAAAAGTATGGATCCTGTCAAATAATTCGAAAACTACTTCAATACGTTTAATATTCAGCATTAACGCATTTTTTAGCCTCATTGATTTTTTTTTCTGAATTCAGTGACTGTCTCGAATAAAAAAGTGTCTTAATTACAACTAACCGCTCAATTTAAAGTTCTGACTGGATTATAAACAACCTGATCGATGTTGTTTAACGGCGCCGCAAAGTCAACTCGAAATTGGACCTAAGCCGATAAATTAGTCTGTGAATAAAGAAAACAGTTAATTGTGCTTCCAATTAATTAAAATAAATAATAAAAATCAGTCAACCTTTAAACAAAGACGGGGTTTGATTTTACAACAGATCCTCAAAATGCTCGCAATTTACTTCGTGACAATAAGTTTTCTAGTGTTAAAATTTTTGCATAGTGCGTCGTTGTGTCGTAATCGTGGTTATTTTGATTTCGTTGTATGGTTTAATTGACTTGCATAATTTACCGACAATAAATTCTTTAGAGCAAATTTAATTTTATTGCAGCCACCGGTTGAGAATTCCTGTAGCGCAGCTTCAGTACTGCAAGTTTAGATAATATATACGTAGTGTAGCCGCATATATTGAGCGTACTTGCATTCCATACATGGTATGCTATTACGGAGGAAGAATCTTCTTTAGCAAATGGCTCTAAAAACGTCTTATTTTGAAGGATAGGTATGAAGAGTACTGTTAATACCTGGCAACAAAAGAAACTGTGCTGTATTGCGAGATGTGGTCGAGTACTTACTTGAAACGTAACGGTACTAAAAATGCTTCGTTGTAACAAAACAGCTTTGCGGTCTATGTCTTATTTTATGTTTAATGATGTTGAATATTCAAATCTTGATAATCACGATCATGGCTTAAATGGTTTTAATCAATGATCAGTTGAATGTTCGCGAAATAAACGTATTAAAGGAGTTGGGGCGTTTAGTCTTCCACGGGCGAAAAATAATTTGCGACTTTAGAGAAAGTTATGGTTCTTTATGCTGTCATAATTAATACAGGGGTGGTCTGGGTAATTAAACATTAATTTCGTTGGTAATTAGTGGAATGGGAGGATGTTTTTAAATTGTAAACAGCGGCCTGGGCCATGAACGGTGCAGTCCAATTTGTTTTAATTTAAGTGAATATGTCGGACGATTCGAGGTTCGAAGAACCGAAACAAACAGCACAAAGTTGTCCGATTAAAGACTTTCCTAATGTAAATTGGTCATTAAGGTGTTAAAAATTACCCCCATTTTTATACAGGAGACTTTATCATCTTTGACCAAGCCCGATGTAGTTGAGGCGAAAATGCCCCCGGGACGGTCTGAAATGTGAGTAAATGAAGAACGAAACAAGGGTAAAAGGGAGAATGAAAACAAGGAACAGCCAACTGAGAGCCGTGAGACTTGCGGTATTTTCAACCGTCATTAAATCTCCATAACTTTCTTAATCTCGAGTGTTTTAGAGCGATTGTAATTATTATTACCTCGCCGATACATTGTAGTAGAGTTTGGCCGCGATTGTGTTTACCACTTGGCTAACTCACAAAGTAACTTGCCTAATTAATAGCTTCAAATCGGCCCGTTCTCAATGCAAACTCGGCTAACTTACGGATGTACCCCTGTTTCCGGGACAATTCGCAATATTCGAATCGGGACCCCGCATTCGCACTCGGTCGCGTCGGATTCCAAATCCAATTAACATTTTTCGAATTATTCTCGTTGTGGCTGATCTATCGCTTTAAGATGACAATACTATTATTATCGTGACAATTTTTCATTTATATTCATTGGGACTACGTAATTACGGACGCCAATAGGGGAACCTACGTACGCATTTTGATCTTAATAGATTTCCTAACAGCGCCATTTAGAAGAAGACCATCCCATTTCCATATCCGACTTGTCAGTTAATGACAATCACAGAACCGTCTATTGTACGCCAAGAACCAATCTCGCGCCAGACCCGAATTTACCCATATTAATCACGAATCAATTGCGAAAATTCCTGTTAGAGGGATTATCCATTTACAAACTCTCCTAAGTTTCACTTTCTCAAAGCATCATTAAATGCCTAAACCAAAAACTCCACGTCAAATCCCCTCTTCCAAAGACTATCAACACTCCCTATCAAACTTTACAAACTCCCTCCGATCTTTTGCAAATTACTATAACTCACTTTAACGTTTCTTACACAAAAAACGAACAACCGGAAATTTGCACACGCCATTTTTAATAACCAACACCGATCATTCACAGAAAAAATTTACGTAACGCAACTCTTTTAAATCTATTAAGTTATTCGACTTGTTCGTGTTCGTCGGTCTTAACAGCAGAATTAATGTAACACGCAACTGATTAATGCAAAAAAAAATTGTTTGAGTCATTAACAGCAACAATAACAAAAATTATTGTTGTTTACATTAAAAAAATTCCAAAATTATATCATGTTTGCATCATCACTCCTGTGAGTGTGTCCCATTCAAATCTAGTTTCATAGCATTTTCGAAACGTTATTACTATTGTTGTTAAAAATATTAATGATTGCTTTCCTTCCGGTATAAGTCACGACACGCTACTGCAGTACATTGAAAGTATTGTATAATGCTGCATTGGCTTTTACAATTATATTAATAACGTTAAATGGTGATTTTTTAACTTTTTTATTTTATTTCATTTGAAATATGTTCTATATTTATGACGGAATGACAAACGACAACACAGGTCATACGCTCGTTAGCAGTTATAATTACACTAGCAAGAAATTGGAACGAATTCTGTCTCTTACACGAGAGAAAATTATTAAGTTGAACAATCCAGCAAGGGGTGAGATACTAGCAACGCTGTAAGTAGTGGTTCCTTTAGGGGAAACACTACTTAAATGAGTCGAGAGGGCGACGACCTTTCAGACGTTATTTTATTGTTCGAATTGTGTTGACCCCTGGAAAAGCTCAAAAGTTCCGACGATGGCACCATATCGCGTCCATAACAAAATAGTTGGCTGAATATGAGTATAAGCACGTCCAATTAAATGGTGATTAAAAGGTGATTTATCTTTAATTTTGGGAGTAATGGGTGCGTCCTATTCAGTAATGAATTTGTCATTGTTGAAGCACCGTACGAGTCGGAATGTTATTGAGGTAAGCGGAGATTCGGGCAGTTGTAGCTGTCGAAATCTGGTGGATTAGCAGGGAAGAGTAGATTTAAGGTTTATTTTAGGGAAAATTATCAGGCACGTGATTGAAATGGGGCAATATTGGCTGATATTGGGAAGTAATATGGAAAGGCGTGTAGACTTTTCGGGTTGGTGATTCGGTGAGCGATAAAAGCAGTTTACGGGAAGGAAATCGATGAAATAGCCGTCGTGTCTAATTAATTTAGTGTAGTGGCTGTTCAGTCCAGCAAAAAGAATTAAACATTAGCGAGGTTATGAGTGAGTCGTTTACGCGCGAATGATTTTGAAGAGCACGGAAGAGTCGAGAGGGTTGTATGTGTGTCCGGTCGAGTAAAATCTTCAATAATTAATAAAACGTCATCAGGATCAGTTGTGCTGTGATAAAAATGAAGGTGATAAATAACGAGGGTAGGCGAGGAATGCGCCGATTGGATCCTGGAGAACGGGAAATGGATAAATGAGTTAGTCATAGCCAATGGCGTACTCTGAATATCTCCGACGGAAATCAATCTTTGATTACCCAGAGAATTTCATACCGTTTTATTGATGTTTTTTCGTCGAATTAAATCAATTTCCAACGCAAATCACACATTCGACGTGTATGTCGAGCAATTGACCGAACGCTGATGCGATTATAATTTGACGACACCAAGAAGCGTGCAATTTTAATCAAACCCTGTCGACGTTTTTTCCTCAGGGATTAATGTTCGTCTATTTCAATCATTTTCCTTATCGAATTGATCATACCATACACCCTCTGAGTCGTTGTTGCTACTTAATGGACCGAAATAGGTAATCCGACTGATATGACTGACTGTGATCTCTACAAATAGCAGAATCATCTCTTTTCAATCGACGATTGTGTTCGAGAATGTACAACATTAGCACCCTATTGTCGTTTACAGTCAACCTACACGCTCACGGGACTCTGCCTTTTATGCTAAATAAGCGTTGATTAAATCCAATCCACCAAAATAACAATCGACAATAAAATAACACCACTTGAATGAACGTCAATATCTTGCAAATGACACTTTCTTTTCAAAACATTGATACAAATAAATCGAGCCAAATCAGCATGTCGATGACAGTCGGATTCCAGTTAACTAAAAACCAAACATCACACGATTCGATATGCTTTTAATAACGATTATCTACGTTAATGCCACTAAATTATTTCTCTGGACGGACGTTAAACACTATTTTATCGAACCACATTTTCTATTAACTTCTCGCAACACCTTCAAAAGCAACGCAAATTTTCATAACTGCATCAATTTGCTGATTTTCACAATACTTGCTACAATTCGATTCCAACTAACACCATCTATGTGTCGTATGCCGCCCCACATAGCGTGGAATTCCATCTTAACTCCCAGAGCAAAACCCGTAGGTTCCGATAATTACAGACACAATTGTAACAAGTTTAGAGGTTAATCAATGAAATTAACATGAATGTCACTATTTCCTGAAAATGAAATATATATATGTCAAAAAACACTTGACAATTCACGAAAATTGCCCAAACCCAAGAAACAGTAACGACATAAAACTATGATTTACCTCAACCTTTGTCTTATAAAAGCAGCTTTTGATTGAATCATTTTGAGAAGTAATCCGTTTTCGCCATTTATTAGGTCTGCAGTTTTTATAACTCCGTAAAGTTTTCTTTGTTCTTGAAGATATATATGTTCTTTGTTTCCAGAATGTTCGTCGTTGGTCTGAAACATAAAAATAAATAAATAATGTGGAGTTATTTAATTTAACCTTTCATGCCACTATTGCTGAAAAGTCGTAAACTAGAGACAATTCAACTTTCACGATACTGTCAAATTTCCTCCAAACGTCCGATCGTGTTCGTTACGCTCTAAACCGTACCTCGGCGGGCTGTCGATATTCCTCGTAGTCTGTTTGCGTTCAATTGCGGACTTTTATTGGTCCGATTAGGGCAATTTGGTTGTTTGAAAATAGAGACCGTCATGTATTATTATTGTATAACAACAAATACGTGGGCAGCGTGATAAGATCGATTTGATGTCGGGGCGAATTCGTTAGTATTCCGTGATATCAGTGAGTTTTGAAGAGATGTACGGCCGGAAAAGAGCTCTGTATCGTTGTCGATCGAAAAGATTAAATGAAACACCAATGTATTAATCTGGTTCGGTCGGGCTCACCGTACCGACGATTTCCTACTGCCGCTTAGCAATTTCCTCACTCATTAACGAGCTTGATAAAATAAGCTAACATCAATCAGTGTCTAACTTCACTATTTCTCTGTATGCATTGCATATTGATTGGTCGTCGTTCCTAGATTGTTGCAAAGATGCCGTGCACGCTTTCTACCCGGTCGTCATCCAGAGATGTGGCCAGAATTGCTGGCATTGCTTACGTGTCGTGCACTCCGCGCGTCGACATGCCGGCGAAACTAGTTTCGACCGACACATCAAAACGTCATCAGGATCACTCAAATGTCATCCGCACTAGCCACAAATGAAAAAATAGATTCAACCACCTCATGATCAAAATCTAAACATTTTTACCCATAAATGTCACACACAATGTGTATCCCTTGTGACAATGAATGACGTCATCGTCTCAAAGAAGGGTTAGTTTCTTTAAACAACTCGTTACAGAAGCTCAAACGTTGTATACGCTAAGCGTGAGAGTTTACAAAACAGTGTAAACATCCTCACAGGACGCGGGAAGGTGAAGATATATTGAAGGCGCTACTTCAAAAAGTTTTGCGTCGTTCTAATAACCGGTAGCGGAAGTTGAGAATGCAAGCATAACGACATATCCAGGATATATACAATTGGTAAATCCTATTCCGGTAAAGTCGAGGTCTGAGACATACGGAATCGAGTAGAACATTTTAGACGGGCAACTTTTACGGAGATAAATTTATGATGCGTAAAATAGTCTTTGAGGTGGCGGTATCGATTTTAGAATTTAAAAATCTCATTTAAATAGGTTGGAGTAAAAAGTGAAGCCATTGGCAGCATGACAAGGCGAGTTTCCGTTTTAATAATTAAACGAGATATATTTACTCGTTGCGAAATAAATGACGTTTTAATTATATTTTGTATTTTATGCGAATAAATAATTTTGCAAATTCGGTGGAATTCAGAGTGATAAGTAGGTTATTTATCTTTGTGTTAATATTTATTATCTCCCGTTTCTAATTGAATTATGACATTAAATTTAATAATCACCCACCCGTAACAACATAAAAAAACATGCTTTTAAACACACTGTTCCCGCTATATTAAAAGGCTTAAATTTCGGTATATGAAATTACATTATGAAACCCGTTTTTATGCTCGTTTCAGTAAAATTCAGTAAGCACTCGTAAATTATGTATTGAGTGATACTTGGGAACAATTTTCATTTAATATAGCGGTTTCAAAGACAAATCGCTTTAAAGTATATTACTTGGTCCAGTAAATTCGGGCTCTTTAAGCCGCATAAACTCGGAATATACGCAACGTAGTAATTTCATTTTTAACTTCCTTGTTCTTAAAATTCTTGTTCTGCCGTTTTAAACAGAAACGTATCTGTCCGTATATTTGCGTCGTCGCCACGATAATTCAAAAATCTTATTTCAGACTCAATTCAAATCGGATATTCTTTGGGTATTGGACGTTTTCCTTTGCTGTTTTCTTTTATATTCGTCCACCGTAAACCTGTTTCAAAATCTGGTTGCGCTTCCAAAATGTTCGCGAACATGTTCCATCTGTTACTTAGTTCGTTGCAATCTCTTGTTTAAGCTAACTTAGTGATCATCGACGTCTTGATGTGTATCTCGAATTAACCTATTTGTTGGTACCGCAAGTTAGTAGGATTAGTAGTGGCGCCACCGGCGTGACTTTTAACAGAGTGAGGTTATTTGAAATGCAAGTATCGCTTTAAAATAACGATCCAGATTTTGTATTTTTATTAAAGCACTAGCGTAATGAAGGCAAATTGAGGTAATATATCAGTACATCAAATCCACAATCATATTTTTTAATCCGAGCTGAAAAAGCGAGAGCATAAATATTCATCAATAACGCAACTGACTTGTGGTGTCCGCACAAAAGTGATTTTTCCGTTGGTGTGGATATTGTCAGTAATTAGGTTTGGGGCGAGTGCAAAATGAATAAATAATTGCGTTAAAGACTGTCGCTTAGTCTCGCAGTAGCGCTACTGGATGAAATTGTTTTGATGCTAACGACGTAAACCCTTTTAAAAGTTGCGAGGGTAAATTTTATGTAAATCGCCGCCGATTACCTCTGTAAACAGTTTCGCGCGTGCATAATACTCGAACAATAAATTTATGCACCTCGATTTTGAGTGGCTTCCTTCAGCCCAGGGGTAAACGGGGACGGAGATCCTCCACCACGGGAGATAAATCAATACTAACACCCCACATCCCTTTACGGATGGTGGCTATTTCATCGTCGAAAGCGTCACATTGCCGGCCGAAGCTCCAATTTATTTATTTTGCTATTAACCCAGCTTCACTTTCACTATTATTTTATAAGGCTATTCCCCATTATCGCGCTTCAGTATGAGACCCCCGCGCAGCCACGATCTTTGATTATGTATATAGCCCCTTAATTGGATATATTCAGGATGCCAAGAATCCCAACAACGGATTCAAATCTCCACGGAATTTATTCCTTCTTTGATTCCTTTATTTGTTTCCATCCTCGCAAAATCTTCTATAAATATCTTCTTCCTTCCCTATTAACCCCTTTCGTAAACGTTTATTACTTCGAGCCAATTATTCTTCCTTTGCGAAAACATTCCTGCTTCTGGACTAACGAAAACAGAACCATTTCATACATCAGATAAACTGCACCGCTACTCACTCTTGCATAACTTCTTCTAAACTACTTCCCCTTCTAACAATACTAAAACGAAATGTTTCCATCTCAAAATCTAATAAATTACTCGCCGTTAAAAATACACTCGGAGCGTCTTCGACATCCTCTGTAGATCTGTTGATTCATCGGAAAATCGACAAACCGATCTTCTACGAGGATTATGATGACTGTCCCAAGTCGGATATTAAGATTGTGCCGGCCCTACAATAGCCCCAAGCCGTTTCCGTCTTTTACCGTTCGAATAGTGACATTCTCTTATTTTTCTACCGCCACTATTTATTCGCTCCGTCTTATATAAGTTTACAAACGTTTGCTCTATTTTCTCCCATTTCCAATCGACAAATCGCTTCCACTCTACGACGTTCTATTTTTGCATCCGTATATGTGACACGTTCGTCCGAAGGAAAAGTCACCACAAACCTGGAAGGCATATACGTCGTGCTTTAATAAATAATTACCAAACCACCAAACTAAGCCGACTTCAAGACATTCACAACGATTGGGACCACGTACTTACCCTTGCGATAGTTAGGTTCGTGGCTCAGTTTTAAGCTATAGGTACCATATTTATGTTGTATGTGACATATAATTTTAGTCTTTAGGGTAAATCGGCGTGCGTTTTTTGCGACCGCGTCAGCTCGTAGCCGGTGTATGTTCCGGCAAGTGTTGCCAACATCACAAAGTCAAATTTCGGAGGCATATTGATAAGGTTCGCGGATTGGCAGGTGATGTCAATTCGGGAATCGACGACGACGTATTATTTAGTGATGGAAGGCCGGGCCCGTGCCGTTATATGTTAATATAGCCCGAATCCATGGTGTGAAAAAATGTCCCTTTTCACAGTGCGCATTTGTTTGTTCTGGAGGTATACAAATGCGAACGGCCATAATCTGAAGCCGAGTATTCACACCTGCCTCCACGGCCGGGCACGGTATGCAATTGTGTAAGTGTGACCTCGCCTGGACTAAGTACTCCTCGTTGCGTTAATTATTGCAATTAAAGTAAAAGGTCGTGTTTGGCGTTCTCACTTGCAGTCGTTATTTTTCCTTATAAAAGAACATTAAACATTTTATGTGCGGATGGTCCTCCAGTGTGAATTCGGACGGTAAAATTTCGGAATGGTAGCGATTCGACGCCGCCTCAATAAAGCAATGACTTTTTATGGGTCCCCGCAGAGCACACACAACTGCTTTTCTGCGCACAGCATTTAACTCTCGCCGACTAGCCCCAAGAAATCCGTTCCGTCCCATTTTTAACAAAAAAACGACGAATCCATAATTATCTTCCTCGTCGATAAAGGGGGAGTTTTACAAGGGATAGGCGTTGCACGAGCGCAAAAAATATCAACATTTTTACCTATTTTGTTTACGCCCCGACGGCTCTTTGTCCACCTAAGGGAGATTTATAGACGACATTTGCAAGGAACGGAAGAATGCTTCGCTTAAAATATTTTCATATACATATATATATTATAGTGGGGTCGCTATTTAGTATATAGTGTGTTGTATATATGTTCTGCTAATTCATCCGTTCGTCGGGGAAGTACTTACGTTGATTTCCACTCATGAAAAACTCCGAATGTATACGCCTATTACACAAGCATAAAAGAAATGTTTTGCCTACACCCCGCGTCTGATTTAGATAACGCTTTAAAGCATTGTCGAGGAAGCAACGGCTGTGCCTTTTATTGTCACCATCACCATTATTGTTAATTTTGCGAGTTCCGAGTAGAAAGTAATAAATCATCCCTGCATCGGGTTATCAAATACTTAATCGCTTCTTTTTCGGTGTTGACTTTAAAACCGATCCAATATCAGTTTGTTCTTGCTAATTGATCTCGAGGAAGGAATATA